AGGTTTAATGGGTCAAGGAACGCTTACTTCTATGCATACAAATCATCTCAAAGTTCTGTTTGTTCAAACGGGATAACCAAACAGGTATAGCTGCTGCCCAGAATTTAATAGGAATGGTTACTTGGCCCTGCTCCTCAACCCCTCAGTGCTCTCTGGCCTGTGATTACCTCTCCTTCCCTGGATATTTCTGGCCTGGCTGCTTGCACTGCTGAACTAGGAAAAAAGATTTTTGTCTTCCTTTTCTTGCTATTTTTCACCTGTCCAGGCTTCTTTCTGTTCACCCCATCCTTCAACCCTTGGTTCAATGTATTCAGTCAGCACTCAGTAAATAGTGACTTTAAGCAAGGAGGGTATGGTGGCAGTGCCTATAGTCAGCTATCTGGAAAGCTGAGGTAGAAGGAGTTCAAGGGCAGCGTGGGCAAGAATGGCAAGACCCAGTCTCAAAAAAAAAAAAATTATACACACACGCAACATGCTTTTGAAATCAACAGCATTGTTTTGTTTTGCTGATAGAACCCAGATGGCAGAAGAGGGTTGTTATGTGTGTGTGTGTATGTGTGTGTACACACACACACATATACACACACACATACACACATCATTTCTCTTTGGTTAATATGTTAGGGGTGGGAAGTGATTGTGGGAGAGAAGGGAAAAGAAAAGTTTTTTTTTTTAAATATATGGGTTCACCAATCTACATGTCATGGGGAGTTTGGGGAGTTACCCAAGACTGCTTAGGAGTTGGGATAAAGACTATACAGGTAGCCAAACGCAGTGGCACACACTTGTAATTTCAGTAACTCAAGAGGCCGAGGCAGGTGGATCACAAGTTCAAATCCAGCCTCAGCAACTTCGAGGCACTAAGCAACTCAGTGAGACCCTTTGTATTTTCTAAAGAAAATACAAAATAGGGCTGGGGTGTGGCTCAGTGGTCAAGTGCCCCAAGTTCAATCCCCCCACACACAAAAAGACTATACAGGTACCTCTGCTTTTGCCTCTGTCTTTGTCAGTGTTTTTTTTAATATTGGAAAAATGCAGTCATTTTATCATTTGCCCCACACCATCCGTTGCCTCTCCCTACTGAACTGAATCAGGTCATATTATACTTGCTGCGTGATGCTGTGTGTTTTCCATTGACTTTTCGGTTGTTGATATTGGCTTTTAGTGTTGGGTATGTGGTTTCTCTCCACACAAACATGAACACATTTCTTACCACTGAAATTTTCCTAGGGGCCCAGGCATTTCAAGCTGGAAGCTGTCATCGGGATGCGTTTTTACATTCCCGTTCTTGCTTTCATCTGTGGGTGCCACTCATAGCCTAGGCTTTCTGTGGTGAAGTAAATGGGTGGCACATATGAGTAGAAAAAAATGAGGCTACTTGAATGCAGCCAGGGAGAGGGGGAAACCATGGTACTGCTGTGTGCCATTAGCATACATTTGTTTGCGGTGCATCATTGCCTCAAACTTAGCCATCCTGGAGAGCAACATCCATGAGGCGCGGCCTTTCTGCACAGGACTGAGAACACTCCTTTCTCCCTATTCTTGTTCCACTAGTTGTGATCTGCTGGGGCATTTCTGCTAATGTTTCCTAGACTTGAACTCTAGGCTCTGGCCAGTGATCATGTTTTGCAAAGGTTCCTCATTCCTCATGTCAGTTTCTTGAAGATTTTTTTTTTAACTGAATTTCTAAATGCTTTTGAAATCAACAGCATTGTTTTGTTTTGCTGATAGAACCCAGATGGCAGAAGAGGGTTGTTGTTGTTGTTTTCCCATCATCTGAATCACTGCACAAGCACCATATCACCTACATGCGAGGGTGACTTCAGGACAGTACTGTGGCTGCAAAGCATGATTAGGTTTGGAAACGCAGGGGGGAAAAAAAGCCTTCTGATTCAACACTTCCACCATCCGTGTACTTCAAGTGTATATCTAGTTACAGAGTTTTTTTGGCAAAAATAATTTCTGTGCTAGAGTTAGCCAGGCAAGGCCAGTATCTCCCCAGCCAGTTGAGTTTGAGGACCCTTCTGCCTCACACATCATTAGCAGCATTGTTTGTATAGGGCTCCTCTGTAGAATCTTTATTCATGGAGAAGCAGAAAGAAACTCAAACAGCCCAGCTGGATTTCCAGGTCCTGGGTGGAATTTGTAACCCCTTTGACTTCTCAACTGAGAAAATCGGATGCGGCTGTCACAGAAAGAGAATAAATATGGAACCCCACAATGCTATGCTTGCAGCCACTTTTATTCCATTGAATTTAACACATAATGAAAGGCAGGCATACTCTGGGAGGCACAGGGCTGAACCAAGGCTAGGATCCTATAATTCCAACTAGGCTGAGCTGGCGACATTTCTGAGCAAGATGCTTTAGCCCCCTTGAGTTGGCGCTGGCTAACAGACACAGGCAGAAATGCCTCCTCCTGTTTTCCTACTGCAATTTCCTCGTTTTAAAACTAAATGATCTATGAAAACGGAAATACAGATGGCTAATAGATACCTTAAAAATATATGCTGTCACTGATAATCCATGAAATGTAGTTTAAAACACAATAGCATTGGACTGGGAGTGTAGCTCAGTGGTAAACACTTGCCTATCATGAACTAACGCCCTGGGTTCAATCCCCAACACTGGGGGAAAAAACAAACTATCATAGGAGAGGATTTTTCAAAAATGAAGGTATTCAAACATCTCAACTAGATTTGTCCTTTAAACTAACACCCAGCTTAGTGTTTTATTAGGTTTTACTTTCATTAAAGGTTGAAAATTCTAAAAATACCCTATTTGGATAGATTAATGAATTTTCCAATAAACTTAGCAATTCAATTTAACAGATTGACTGGTAAATAGATGCCAGAGATGTTAAAGCCAGAAATAACTATAGGGGTTTTATTTTATTTTTTTTTAATTTTTTTTTAGGTATAGATTGACACTTTATTTATTTTTATGTGGTGCTGAGGATTGAACCCAGTGCCTCACCCGTGCTAAGCGAGTGCACTACCACTGAGCCACAACCTAAGCCCCACTATAGGGGCTTTATGATTTAGATCCTTCTTTATGGTTTGTGGTGGTGCCAGGGCTCAAGTCCAAGACCCTGCGTGGGCTAGGCAAGTGCTCTACTACTGAGCTACACCTCCAGCCCCTTCCTTATTTTCTAAGTGAGAAGTCTGGGACCTAGAAAAGTTGTGTTTTTTCCTTGGGTCACACAGTTATGTAGAGTTGGAACTGCATTAGTAAATTATGATGTGCCTTTATTTAGATCTTGCTATTGGTAAATAGGATTAATTTTTCTTTCTTTCTTTTTTTTTTTTTTTTGAGGCTGGGTCTTGCTATGTTACCCAGGCTGGCCCTGAACAAGTGATTTTTTTTTGGCGGGGGGTACCAGGGATTGAACTCAGGGGCACTTGACCACTGAACCACATCCCCAGCCCTATTTTGTATTTTATTTAGAGACAGGGTCTCACTGAGCTGCTTAGTGCCTCACTTTTGCTGAGGCTGGCTTTGAACTTGCGATTCTTCTGCCTCAGGCTCCTGAGCCACTGGGATTACAGGTATGCACCCCCATGCTTGGCTGATTTTTTTTTTTTTTGTAATACCTCAAGGACGTTGTGCTTCTCTGTCTTTTCAGTGAGACGAGATGCCATAGACCTCAAAGAACTGGAATCCAAGCATTGTTCCCTTATTGGCTCTCTGTCTTTAGAGGACCAAGTAGCTGAACACTTCTACGTCTTTTTAATGAGGAATAACAATTCTTGCAAACTGAAGTCTCTTTGATAGACTTAGAAGCCAGTGAAGCAACTACAAGGAAAAATAAGTGTTTATATTCTAAAAGGGGCATTTAGAAAAGTGTGCAGATAAGTCCAATACAAAATAGAGCAAGTGTTAAAAGAGTTTGTGTTAGTTAAGGTCATGCTGGCTCCTGTAACAAAACCCCCAAATATAAATTGGCTCTAAAACTGTAGAAGTTTATTTCTAGCCTGTGTAAATACCCAAATGGATGTTCCTATTATCAGGCAGTTCTCCAAGTGGTCATTTTGGGATCTGGGCTGCTTTCTGTCTTATGACTCTATCTTTGGCATTGGCTTTGAAGCCTTCTGTATTTGTCAGTTTTCTGCCTCTGCAACAACAACAACAAAAAAAAAAACTTACAAGATAAATAACTTATAAGGAGGAAAAATTTATTTTGGCTCATGATTTCAGAGGTATCGGTCCACAGGCAATTGTCTCTGTTGATTTAGGATCTGTGGTGAAGCAGTACATCATGGCAGGAACATGTGGTAGAGGAAACTGTTCCCTTCATGGCTCAAACATGAAAGAGAGAAAGGAAGAAGCCTGGGGTCTCATTATCCTCTTCAAGGCACAACCCTTCCCCAGTGACCTAACTTCCTTGTACTAGACCCCACCTCCTAGAGGTTCCACCACCTCCTAATAGCGCCACAGACTGAGAACCAAGCCTTTAACATGTGGGCCTTTGAGGGACATTCAAGATCCAACATGCTTGCCTTCATCGAAAAAGGAAAGAAAGTTTGGAGGACTACTCGTTGGAGGATTTTATGGGCCAGGCCTGGAAGTTGCAGATGTTATTTCCTCTAACATTCCATTAGATGCAACTCAGATGTATGACCAGATCTTAGTGCAATGGATGCTGAAAACTGTAGTCAAGTTGTGTGTAATTTTAAGTGGCCATCAAGTACTCTCCACCACAAACAGCTTTGAGGCTGAAGTAACTTCTCAGACACATATATACATAGGAATACAGAGGTTTTGATTTCTGCTATTATTTTTAACTTTTTCTTCATTTTAACATAGAGATTTCTGCTGACTCATCCTAGATAATTGTGTTAGTCAGATTTTTGTTGCTTTCACCAAAATACCTGACAGGAGGGCTAGGGTTGTGGCTCAGAGGTAGAGCGCTCACCTACCACGTGTGGGGCACTGGGTTCGATCGTCAGCACCACATTAAAAAAAAAAATGAAGATATTATGTCCACCTATAACTAAAAAAATAAATGTATGTGTGTGTGTATACACATACACACACACATTTTTAATATATATATTAAAAAATACCTGACAAGAACATTTTAGAGAAGGAAAAGTTTGGCTCACAGTTTCAGCAGTTGACTTCATGGTCGGCAGACTCCATTGCTCTGAACCCACTGCTAAGCAGAACATCATAGCTGAAGGATGTGGCAACCAGGAAGCAGAGAGAAAGAAAAAGGGAGTGTATGAGGAGCCAGAGACAAAATATATAATCCCCAAGGCATGTCTCCACTTCAGTGGTCCACTTCTTCCAGCCACACACCACCTGCCTACAGTTACTACACAGAAATCTGCAAATTAACAATCCATCTAATGGATTAATCCTCTGATCCGGTTATGGCTCTTATAATCTAATCATTTCACCCCTGCATTAACACAGGAACCTTTGGGGGATGCCTTTACCTTATATCCAAACCATACAATAGTATATATACTTCAAGCTCTTTGTTTTTCAGGAGTGGAGACTCTTTCTGATTAATGGTATGCTTTTGCAAGATGACCAGATCTCATGGAGGTCAAATCTTCTCCATCTGCCTAATGTGACCTGGGAGATGAGCACAAAAATAGTGGACTCTACCCATAGCCACATGCAGATAGAGACTCCAGTCAGCACTCTGTTTTCTTTCTTTTTCATCTTGGGGATGGAACCCAGGGCCTCATGCATGCTAGACAAGCACTCCACCATTGAGTTATACCCCCAGCCCTATCCCCTTTATTTCAGTTCAGTAGTGACCAAAGGCAAGCAGTCCGAGGGCTGCCCTGTGGATAATAGAATGCTATACTGGTGGTTACTTCCCAGCACTTACATTTGTCATGTCCATGGCTGGATGACACACAGGCCATACCTCCTTTCTACTCAAGCTGTCTGTGTCCTCATTCTGCCCCTTACGTTTCTATTGAATGAGACTCTCAGCTGGGCCCTCGACCCCAGACCCTCACTCTCTACACTCCATCAATCATCATTGCCAGCTCAGGACTGCCAGAGTTCTCTTACATACAGATCTGATGATGCCTCTCTCCTTTTTAAATGCCTTGGATGGCTCCTGCAGGCTACAGAACAAAGCAGAAACTCCTTGGTGTGGCCTTGAAGACCTCCATGAGGGCCCCAGTATGAAGATTTTGCTTCACCAAGAATTAATAAAATTAATTAAATAATTAATAATAAATAAAAACAGTTTTGGATTTTGACTTTGCTTCCCTTGCTCTAGCTCTGTTTGTCTAGTTGAATTTCAGACATGAAACTGTGTGCAGGGTATCTTGTCATTCTCAAAATCTGCCATGTGGTTTTCAGGCCTCTGTCCCTACCTACGGAATGCTGAGTATCCTCTTAGGAACAAGTTCAGATACCATCTTCCCTATGAAGTTTCCCTCCTTTTGAATTAACTCTTAGGCATTGTGAACCTCTATAACTCTCTGCTAAATATTATGATTTTGTACATGTTTGTCTTACCTCTATAGCAGAGAATGTCTATTACTCATCCTTAGGTAAGATCTAATATGTGCTCAATAATACTAGTTGATTTGAATTAGTCACAGAATAAAAAAATATTCTGTGTAAATAAAAAATAGAGTCACAGAAAAAAAATCCATTTAAATTACTTTCTGGCATTTCTGCTGGGTCTGAACTTTTTCCTTGATTCTGAGTAGCAAATACAAAATAGTGCCCACTTAGTTCTGATAATGGAAAATTGCTTCAACTTTATCACAGAGTATCTGTTTTTCCTAATGATTATCTATAAAGATGAGAAGTAGAGGTTGTCATTGGAGTAGAAAAAAGATTTTATCTCTGTGGCTGGACCGTGAGTTAGAGTGGCCATGAGTTAGAGAGTTAGTTGCCCCTATTCTGCATGCACATGGTACTTTCCACGTACATTTATCATAGCCCCTACTGCACCAAATTTAAATTACAGATTTCAAACAGAGCTTTTGACTTTGTATGAGTGATGATTTGTTTCCTTGTCTGACTTCCATTCTAGGCAGCACTGTTAATAAATTCTATGTGATAATGGAAATGATCTATAAACTACACCATCCAAAATGACAGCCACTAGCCACATGTGGCTGTTGAGTACTTGAAATGTGACTACTGCAACTAGGAACTGAACGTTTAACTCATTTTTTATTTAAATAGCCACTGTGGCCAGTGGTTACCATATTGTTCAGCACAGTAATATTGAGTTCTATAAGAGTAACATTGTATTAATTTATTATAATTGCCCATACAATGCTAGGTAATCATAGACCCTCAATAAACATTTGTTAAACTGGGTGCAGTAATACACACCTGTAATCTCAGGGACTCAGAGGCTAAGGCAAGAGGATCACAAGTTTGAGGCCAGTCTCAGCAACTTAGCCAGGTCCTAAGCAACTTAGTGAGACCCTGTCTAAAAATGAAAAATAAAAAGGGCTGGAATGTGGCTCAGTGGTAAAGTGCTCCTGGGTTCAATCCTTAGTACCAAAAAATAAATATTTGTTAAATAATGAGCTGTTAAGAACTCATCGAGAGTCTGCTGAATGCTAGGTGCTGTCCAGAGGCTGTCCTTGTGTCACCCTCATTATGGCAGAGCCCCTTGTTGGCGCAGCATAGAGCACAAGACTTGACCCCCATCATCGCAGCCATTTCCAAGGAATTGGGCAACCAAGGGAACAATTTAGCAAGACCATTAGGAACCTGGGGAAGAGAAGCCTGGCAGAGCCCTCCATGAAATTAAAAAATCTCAGTGGTGAACCAAAAGCCTCTTTAACCTGCCCGGGCCTGAACTGGGTGATTGTCCTTTTTCCTGAAACAGCCATAGAAGTCTTTTAATTTCAAAATTCAGGGTCTAGTGGGACCCACAAACTTGGTCTGAAAACTGCTGGCAATGGTTTTAGTTTTGGCAAAGAAAACGCGAGTTGCATGGCATCTGAGAGGGACATAAAAGGGATGAGCTGCCTGAGTGGAAGGGAAAACTTTTCGCCTGTGGGTTCATTAGAAAGCTGCTTGGCACCTCTTCCCTCTGAGAAGCAAGCAGCACCCCCTGAGGACTGGTTTGAGATCAGAGGCAGTAGCTGGGGCTGGCATTAGGAGGGCCCATTTACTTGGAGCTCCTGATTTCCCCCTGGAATTTAAAAACCAAGTGTCATTTCTGCAATAAGCAGTAAGTTATGAGGAGAACTAGCTTGCAGTCCATCTTTTCCCACCCTGCAGTTAGAATCTGCTTGGCCCAGCCCTTCCTTCCTTGTTTTCCAAGTGTCCTGACTGGTAAGGACTGTAACATGAGCCCTGGACTCAGGGCGGCTGTCCTTCCACTGTTCCTTTCCCTGCAATGTTCATCTCCCACTTGTTTACAAAAATAAATAACTGTCCTATTTCCCAAAAATGGAAATTGCTACTTTTTAAAGCAGAAAGTTGGCAGCTTAAGGAAGATTTCCAGAAAGCAAGAAAATTAGAATAGATGAGGCAATCCCTTCTCTTTCAGGGAGAATTACAGAAATATTGGACTGGGGATGTGGCTCAGGGGTGCTTAACCTGTGCAAGGCCCTGGGTTCAATCCCCAGCACACACACACACACACAAAAAAAAAAAGAAAAAAGAAAGAAAGAAAGAAAAATGAATGGCTGAATTGTTTAGAAAAAAGAAATTTAGCATAACCTACTTTCATAAAGCCCCATGCATGAAAGTCCAGATTTACAAATAATTAAGAATGAGGATGCATATAGTAAAATTACTATAAGCTCCATTATATATATTGGGCTGGGAATGTAGCTCAGTGACAGAGCACTTGCCTAGCTTATTCGAGGCCCTGGGGACCTTGGGATTGATTAATCTGCAGTACCACCAAGGGGTGGAGACACACACACACACACACACACACAACACATTCCTTCTTTAAAGAACAACAACAACAAAAAAGAACAGAGTGACAAACTTGGAGTATGCATATAGAAAAAATGACTGTCATATCTCTGTCTCTGTCTCTCCCTTTAAAGAACAGAGTAGCAAACTCCAAAGCCTTTGGGAACCTGCCAAGCAAAATGGATGTGGGAAGCAGCTGGGAGAACAGCGACAGAGAGCAGTGGGGTTTGGGGAAATGCATGTCCCCTCTCCTGCACACCAAGGCATTCATGTTCCAAAAATTGTAAAAATTGCATTAGTCAAAGAGATTTGGCTGTCTTCCAGTTGGTGATCTCTGCTTTTTAAAATAGAACGATTTCCCCAGGTCCTTTTAAAATATGCTCCAGTTTGCAAAATCAGGAATACATCTACTTGGTAGCACAAGATATACTTTTATTCTAATTAGTCCATGGCATACAGAGAGGTTGTCAACCTGCTTTTGGCGGGGGGACCAGGACTCCATTTACTTATTCCACTTCCTCTATATGAACTTAGGAATTTGGCAGGCTGGGGGCATAGCTCACAGGCACAGCATTTGCCTATACCACGAGCCTGGGATTTCATCCCCAGCCCACAAACAGTAAAGTATAAATATACGTGGGAATTTGCAGAAGAGAGTGGCACATATTCAGATCCACGTTTTTTCCACGTTTTCCTCTATAGTACAGGACCTCAAAACTTCAGAGCAGGGAAAAATAGATTACTTGAAAGATGAGAGCATCAAGGATTGGGCTGTAGCTCAGTGGTTGAGCACTTGCCTAGCATGTGTGAGGCACTAGGTCTGATTCTCAGCACCACATATAAATATAAATAAATAAATAAATAAATAAATAAAGATCCATCCATCAACAACTAAAAAATATTAAAAAAAAATCTTGGGCTGGGGATATAGCTCAGTTGGTAGAGTGCTTGCCTTGCATGCACAAGGCCTTGGGTTCAATCCCCAGCACCATAAACAAACAAACAAATAAATAAATAAATAAATAAATAAATAAATAAATAAAAATTTAAAAAATTAAAAAACTCTTACTTTCGGGGCTGGGCTGTGGCTCAGCAGTAGTGTGGAACTGAGTTAGATTCTCAGCACCACATATAAATAAAATAAAATAAAGGTCTATTAACAATTCATATATCTAGATAGATAGATAGATACATAGATAGATATATCTCCAAAAAAATCTCTTACTCTCTTAAAAAAAAAATGAGAGCATTCAAACATCTTTCTCCCCAATGCCCCCAAAGCCCTTGAAAACAAAGCCCACA